ATCGGGCAGGATTTCAGTAAGAAGGCTTTAACCTGCGCAATATACAATATCGCCTAATTGAGCACCACCAACATGGCGCATTCAGAGATTAAAACCCAACACGATTGTCCGTAGTCGAAACATTGTAATTCTCTGCTGTGTCTAGGTAACCTACGTATGTATAAGCCATAAACCAAATTTACATATATGTCCCGTCATCGAAGCTTCGTACTACCAGACACACGTCGGAACATTTTCTGCTAATGGAGGGCACAGATCCCCTTTGCCTTGTTTCTTGTGTTGTTTCGCTGCTGTATTCCTTACAGCCGCCGACGCAGAGCTTCGGCCTATGGATCACCAGGGCCCGTTTGCTCGAACAGCTAACCGCGGCTAAAGTTAGCCGCAGTACCTAGGAGAGGGATTTTTTAGTCACGTGACTGGCTCGGTAGGGATACGGGGAGCTACGCATTGCCCCGTCGCGTCGTTCGACAAAATGGCTGCAGCGTACGCAGTTTCCGCGGTCGCGATCACATTGGTGTTTGTCTTCAGAGCGATGATTTAGGTTCCGTGTTCTAAGTTAAGAGTGTACAAGTATCCTACGTGCGCCTTAAAGAAACTGACATTTCGAGGGGACTGCGACTGAAGTCGACGGCAGCAGCCCGTCGACAAACAGTGGCTCAGAGTCACCGATTTGTAGAAGTACAGTGGCCCGGAGTCGCCGACTGTCGAAGCTTCGCATCGGCTTCATTGAAGCACGGCAAGAATCATGCATCGCAGCGCCGAAATGTGGGATGCGTTCCAAGGAACACGATAGCCGAGTACGACAAGCGTTTTACGGTGAGCACCAAAACATTTCGCGATAGGGTTGTGATGAGGCCAGCCTCATACTCACGTTATGTTGAGCGCTGTGAAACTAACTTCAAGCAGGAGCAGGATCAGAATACGTTTATTGAAAGGAAGCATTACGGAGAGTTGCCTTTTGAGTAGCGATTGCGGTTTATTGAAAGTAGTCACGCCGGGAAAATTTCTGTTCAGGGTGTCCATTTTGTACAAAATCCTCGTATTCTGCTTACAGTGCGACTGCAGCTGCAGCATCAACCGTTCTGCAGATAAACGGCGGACAGAGGCTCAACGGTCCAATGGATTTTAGCAGTGATGAGTAGCAGAACTTTCTCTGGGTTTAGTGAAATGCTACGTTGTCCATAAAAGACCAGTGACCTGCCGATCGTTCAATTCACTCGCCCTCCAAGAAAGCCGGTACATGCAGTTTTTCCGAATCAACTCCGTTGTGCCGTCTGCGAAAGTTGTAGAACCGAGAAATAAACAATACTGAAGTTGTTGGAAATGCACTTGTTTGTTATTTCGCGTTGCTTCTGAAAAAATATTTTACGGTTAGCAGGAATAATGTTGCAATTGTGTAGATAAACAAACCAAGGTAGCAGACGATCATGCTCCTTCTGCAAACGAAAATGAACCGAGCGACTACCTCAAAGGGGACCGCGCCGCTGCGTCAAAAGAATTGGACCCTAGATGAAAAATTGGAATTAGTCCGGGAAGTTGAGGCTCGAAAATACCAAATCCTGGGAAAATTCGGCCCTACCGTGACTACTAAAACCAAAAGACGCGCCTGGGACCAAGTCGCCAATTCCATGACCCGCCGCCACCAAGTTCCGCGTTCAGTGAAACAGCTTCAAGAAGCATGGAGAAAATTACTTAAAAAGTGCCGAACTTTGTACAGATTGTACAAAGAACATGACCAACGGACAGGTAAGTTCCAATATTTGCGCTACAAAAACAGAAAAAAGGGCGATATTTGTAAAATCTTTATTGGAAACTTTGGGTGCACTGTACAAATTTATTAGAGAGTGATATATTAGCCCCTCAAATTTTTGGGGCAAATATCTCAACCGAAGACCCCATTCAATGCGCGACAACTAACATCTCGCTCAATATCATGAGAGGGCAAGCCCAAAGATTAATTAGCTCTTACTCGCACAAGTTTCAACACAGTGGCACTAACACAGAAATAGCCCCAAAGCACCTTGGATCCTGTTCCATGCAGTGGGCCTGCGTAATTTCTCAAAATTAATGTCCAAATTTTGCTTGCCAAAAACATTGTCTTTAGCACTGTAAACAATGTAGACACTATTGTTCAACTAAACACAGAAGAAAAATGTATGTAGGCAAGTAGCGTGGGAACAAGGGCAGGGGGGCTTCAGACCCCCTTCCCCTCCCCCCCCCCCCCCCCCTTGAAATTTCAGACAGCTGCGGTAAACAATGCTGCAAAAGGGGGCGGGGTTAAGCTCAGAGGCTCCGTCGCCCCTCCACGTTTCAAACACTTCCGACGCAACCGATTCAGGCACAGAGTGGGCCAGGCTAGCCGGTAGCTGGCAACAGTGAGTTTGCTGTCAAACAAAAAAAAAAAGAAATAAATTGTCCAACATCACATATTACCCGAGACCGGATAATAGGAACCTGAGGGTGAAAAAAAAAACGAAGGTAAGAAAACAATCTTATCATTATTGGCAATTACATGTTTACGCGTTTTCTGTTCATTCGCACATTGATACTATGTTGAATAATGAACACCCTGTCTCCCCTCCCCCACCTTTAATTGTGCTTACATCCTAGAAAACAAAATAAGTGTACTTCAATTCATAGGTGCTGGTCCCAACCCCCATCAGCTGACACCACTTGTCGAGACTGTTTTAAATGTGATCGGGGACGATTCCCCGACGATCTGTGGGATTGACGTCGTCATCGGTGACACCGAAAAGTAGGTAACACTTTATAGGCCATGCTGTGTATGCTATGCTCCTGTTGATACTTTATACATTACAATACTAAAGTTGTAGGTATGAGCACGTGGCTTCGTCAATCACCTTACTTGTGCTAATTGAATGGCCCACCCTTACGCCTACAAGTTTGATATCGTTGCACACTGTATGTAGACTGTGACAATGGAGGCGATAGTACAGTGGAAGCTCTGCACCCAGTTACAGCTTACTAGCCCTGACAGCACAAGGATGCACAAGCAGCAGAAGAGAATGAGCACGCGCTGAAGGTGCATTCTTTTTCTGTTCTGCTCGTCACATTATGAGTACTTCCACAAGATGATAGTTATGAAACTGATGATAGGGATGTTCTGCTGTCACTGATGATAGGTATGAAACTGAGCAGAGACACAAGGCATATCAAAAGTCACCAATTGTTGGCATGCTCCTAGAAAACATTGATGAGCATAGGGAACAGTTTGGATTGTCATAAAAGAATATATTGGTTTTCCATCTCAAAGTAGACATGTCAGTTGCATAACACTACTGCTGCGTGCCCTTACATAGAGACCAACTTCATGAAGCAAAACGACAATATTAGGAGCACGAGTCAAAACCTGTCCAGTAGAGAACAGAACACAGCACAAGGACACCACCTTCACATATTTAGCCATTTCTGCACTGCTGAAAAAGTGCCAATGAAACCATTTATTAGGGTAAATGCAGTAAAACTCACAGTTTGAAACTATTTGTACCACAAAATTACAAAGAAATATTTACATCATAATCAACAAAGCTATGGTAGTCTTTCTCTCAAGTTGAGATCACCTATTTTCTTCAAAGTCAGGTCACTCAATACCCAAATTTTTCCACTGTCAGTGGAAATGTTTTTGCATGATCTTCGTACATGCCTGCTAACGTAGCAAAAATCCATTCTTTTTTGGTAACGCTTATGAGATTAAGTTGAGAATGCACCAATGACTTATTCGATGCTGATCTGTGCCAACAAAATCTGAAAAAGTATCAATGTCCCAGTTAGCCGGACAGTGCTTGGGTACACAATAATCACATATGACGGCTGGTGTGAGTGTGCCACATCTACTTGTTTTAAATCTTGTACAAATGTCTATGTGGCGACTCTACCAACCGCCAATGAAACAAAGTTGCGGGGTTAGGCACTCCAGTCTGTTGTACCACCAACATATGTGGTAAAATTATGACAAGTGTTACTGTCACATCTGGATTAAGGTTGCCGTACGTTGCACTCAGTTCTCCCACACATATATGTACCCTGATCCAGGGTGACGTCAAAAATGTCATGCACTGCAGCCCTCATGCATCACTTGGAGAGATAGAGGACGGAGAGAATCATGTCACGGAGGACGTACGTGCACGAGTATGGTGTCTAGTCACAATCCTTTGCTTCAATGCTCTGAGCAGCTCTCTGGAGCTGTAGCCCTTGCAGTTTGCTAAGTTATGCTGAAATTTACAAGTTCACTCCTGCCCAACAATAGCCCTCTGTGAGCTGCCATTTTTCTCACTGCGCATGCTCGGAACACGTCCCGAGCATTAACTTTATGCAGGACAATATTGTACCTCGGGCTGCCATCCACAGCCAGTCAGTGACCTGGGTTTTTAAGTTTGCTGATAATCGTTGTAAAGGCTTATGCGTTAAAGGGATACCTCAACGAAATTAAAAATATACCCGTCGTGTTCAAAAATAGGTTGAATATGATCCACTGTATCCCTAAATGACAATCGCACGTTTGTATTTTGAACCTGGTGGCTATAGTTTTCGTTACAAACGGCCCACCCTGACAAGCGCTCGGAGAACAGCCAGCGGAGAGCATGTGACACCCAACGCAATCGTGACGTAGTTCGTCTCGGGACGAGCAAAGCTGCGACGAGGCTGACGTCGAGAGGATGGCCTAGTCGTTCCAGCCACCAAAGCGGCTGCTTTTGTACGAATTTTGAGTGAAGGGTTAATCTTTTATAATCTTGTAGGGGGACAATAGCAACTTCTGGGACATACAAAAAGGATTCTTTGGAAGAGGAGAGTTCCTCCTTCCCCTCTTCTATTGTGGTAGCCGGAGGCGAGACAGTTACCGTCACTAGCTGTCAAGGTTCTTAGACTGGCATTACAAAAGAGGCGTTAGCGACATCCACCTGGTGCTCTTTGCCAATCGCTTAATTCGTTTTAAAATTCCTTTTCGTGACTTTTTTAACAAGATATTGTTGTGTTCGATGTGATACTGCTCCTTCGAACACATATAGACCAAAAAATGAAACCCGAAATTTTGTTGTAGTATCCCTTTAACCTCAAACAATTTCCTGGTCATGCGTGTCACTACAGCAGCTGCACGGGAAGGGTGACGACGCCGCCACCCTCGTCATCTGGCAGCAGTACAGTTGAAGACGACGCAGCACAGAGAACACTGGCCTCTCCTGTTGTGCAGCACAACCAGCGCTGGACCCGTGAGGCTGCACAGCAGTACCAGAGAAGGGCCGAGCGACAGCAGGATCTGGAGCATGAGAATATACTCCTTGAGAGAAAGTACACAAATGGGGCCATACAGGCTGCAAACGCAACCCTCGCTGCAGCAGATGCTGCACGGAGTTTCTATGCTATAGGGGAGGAAGTGCTCAGGGAGCAAAGAGAACTCATTAGACTTGAAACCACCCGAGCACAGCTGCAAATTGAACTGATAAAAAGACAATTAGGACAAGATTAACTCATGTAATGAGCTACTTGCATTGTTTGTCGCTGTGTTGTATACATATTTTGCGTTTTTTCTGACCTACATACTTGGTTGCACGATTATAACGCTCACATTTTTTTTGCCAAAATGGGTGCCTAAAATTAGATGCACTTACAATTGAAACCAAAACTCAAAAGAAAAACGCAAGGCAGCTAGCCCAATCGCCTTTGTGACCGTTTGTTTACATTAGATATTTTGGTATCCGTATCGCGCGTTCTTTCGCCTTTATGTCATCACACTGACGGGAAACGATAACCACGGAGCGACACTGCGTAGCCTCGCAATCCCAGCGACCCAATGAGCTCGCGAAGTGTTGTATGAAAAAAAAAAAGTGAAGGCCGTTTACAACTCCGTAACGCCGAATTAGAGCGCAGCTCTTGAGGAGGAGTAGGGAAGGGTACTGAGGGGGAGGGGGGTCACGTGACCTCGGCGGGGGGGGGGGGGGGTCACGTGACCCCCAGGTCACATGACCCCGCAGAGAAATTTTTCCGCTAGGTTTAGCGGACAAATTTTTCCGCTAGATTTAGCGGGGAATTTTTTCCGCTAGATTTAGCGGGGAAATTTTTCCGCTAGATTTAGCGGGGAAATTTTTTCACTAGATTTAGCGGAGAAATTTTTCCGCTAGATTTAGCAGAGAAATTTACCCATCATGCACCGGCGGTTACGACGACGGCGACGGCGACGCCGCTCAAGCCGGAAACTAGCGCCTAAGAGCTGCACTTATGGGTGTTCAAAGTGCATTACTTTACCTGCGCGGTAGAATCGGCAGCAATTAAATTTTTCGATATCTGGGAGCTAAAATTGCCTGCATGTAAGTATCGGGGCCACGTTAGAATCGTGCAAACATGGTATGTTTGACACTTCATTTATTTTATGCATGCTATCTACAAGGGAAGCTTGCACACAATCTTTTCCATGTCGTTGACTATCCCTACACTAGACCAGCGTGGTTGTTCTGATCGCAATATTTTACGCTGTGGTTAAGTAAGCAACAGAATATCATACTGGCAGTATGGCACCCAGGCTTTCGACGCCCCAAAGGTGGCACATAATTTACATGGATACCTAAAATAAAAATATGGGTTAAGCTCAAAGGCAGATGTATAATTCCTTCTTTCCTATATCCCTTCACATGTTTCCCTTTCATAACGCGGCTCCCCGTCACAGCTCAAGAGAGGAGGTCGCCAAGACGATTAGCCTCCCGGCAGAAGACCAAGGTCGAGTTTCTGTGTTTTAAGAAAATGTTCGAGTCATCGATGAGTGGACCACAGACACTTTCTGACTTGCATCTGCAAATATTCCTTCTGCTTTTAAGATAAAGGCTTTTTCTGCCTGGATATGCTCCTGCGACCTATGGACTGTGTGCTGCTTATGTACGAAAAAGTTCATACTAAGAATATCCCGAAACTCAGGAACAGAAAAAGGGATCAAACACAACACTACATCATTTTGTTGCGTGTGTCACCTTTTGGGGCCCCGGGTCTTCAACTCTTATTACTTTGAATCGTCACCATTACCTTGTTCTTTAAGTATTTATTTATTTATTTATTTATTTATTTATTTTATTTAAAGAGTACCTTCATCGCCTCGAGGGCATTATTGTAGGAGGGGTGGGAAATAACACACATACATAAAAACACAAAGTGATCACTTGTCCGCACGGAATAGATATACAACCGAGAAAAAAATACACTGTTATCCAACACAACAGTTTTTTGGAGCTGAAATCTACTTGCTGCTTGTACGTAGGCTCGCGATAATTCGAACTCGGATATTTCGTACTTCCAGTTATTTCAAACAGGTTTAAAAATTTTGGTTGTCCCGCTAAGCTTTTTTATGTATTTATAAGCCACTTAATTCGAATGGCGTTTTCGCTTAATTCATAGTTTTTTGCTCTCGCGGCCCTGTTGAGTGCGCTTCTTTCCGAGCACCGCTGCACCGCAGAGAAGCAATACCTGCGGAGCTTGCTTTTGCGAGTGTTGCTTCTCCGCAGTGCACCAGTGCTCGGAAAGAAGCGCAGTCAACGGGGCCGCGAGAACAAAAAACTATGAATTAGCGAAAACGGCACACATGAACGGAAAACGGCGTTCAAATTATGTGCTTCAAGACTAGCAATGATGACCAAGACGACAACGAGGACGAGGCACAGCTCACTGGCATCATGATTTCTGGCCTTGAAACACGTAATGTGAACGCCGTGCAGGCGAACTATATTAGTCTTGACGACGATGTGTGTGTTTGTCATGATGACTCATTAGAGGACATAGTACGGAAAGTAATGCCAGCACAGTGCAGCAGTGACAGTGAAGATGACGATGAAGAAATGGATGACCCACTACGAACTGTCACAGCCGCAGAGGCCTTTGAGCACATCGCTCAGCTCCGGAAGTTTCTGTCTGCAAAGGAAAAGTCCCGTAAAGAGCTGCTTGCGTTGGCTGGCATTGGAAATTTTGTTTTGAGATCTCATGTGCTGACTAAACAGTCCACAATTGACGACTTTTTTGCCGGATGAATAAACTTAGTCACAGTTCTTTCACAAATGTGTTATGCCTGTACTTGCTTATAGTTATGCATTAACTCTAAGCAAGCTATTGTGCTATGTAGAGGAAACTGGCCAAAATCTGCTTTGTATATATCGCTATCCATGTAACAAATCATAATGTTCTCTAGTATCATATATATCCAACTAAAATATGTGACTTTCTGGAGTTTGAATTAATGAGAGTGTAGTATGTACAATAAAGCTCCTCTCTGGACAATGCCCTACTAAAAATAAATGTTTTGCAAATGATGTTATCATGCCAGCCAGGATGAAGAAAATATGAACTAACCCTAGGAGGTTTGTGAAAAATAAGAGAAAAGCTTTGCGGGTTGGAAAAACCTGTGAAAGGTGTTATGACTCAACACTCAGAAGCGTACACTATGTAAATCCTATGAGCTAGTAACCATGAGTATGCAGTGAAAAATGAACATTCTATGGGGTAGTATATATAATTTGTACTGATAGCTTTGAAATTGGTATCAAATGAACATTGTTTCACTATACTCTCCTATTCATGCTCCTGTACCCATTAAATAGTATCGGTTTGTAGATATTGAATGGGAAAATAACTGTCTTCTTCAGTTGCCTCATTATAAACTGTGCACACATAGTCTGTTATAGGGCTGACTTCAGCACTTCCCATAAAGCTTCCGTCGGTGTGGGAAATGTATTACAAAAAATAATGACAGTATAAAAAGAGAGCTCCAGAGAGTGCGAAGAAGTGCACAAATTTGAAGAAGCATCCCTCGTGTCATTAGTTAGAAGTTTGAAAAGTGCATTGTTATGAACTCCGGAAATCAAATTCAAAATCTATTAGTTTAAGAGAGCCCGTGTGTGCCTATGCTTGTAGCTCTGCGAGAGTGCAGGAGTTGATGGGGAGGAGACCAAAGCAGTAACAAGCAGTTGAGCTGCAGCGTGCGATTGCAGGAGTGTTGGACATTGCACTGCACTCCCGTTTGACCAATAGCTTCGGCAGGGATTTTTTTCGAGCACACTCTTTCCAACGAGCTAATTATAAGTGCCTCAAATGACACATTTCGAGCTTTGTAACAATAATGCGGGAAGTAAGAACATTTTTTTTCATTACTTATTTCGTCGCTCATGCTGCAATTTACACATACTGCTATGGAAGCAACAGGTATAAGGGGATGTCCATCAATCATTCTTTACATTTCTATCATCCAAATTTCGAAACTCTATGTGGGATATCTGCAAGCACTACCCGAATTGATCTGTGCAAGAGTGATATATGCATTGCTGGAATGTCATTGTCATGTTGATAACACACTTTCAGCATTGTCACATGTGTCACACTCCTTTATGGGTTATTTTGGGTAGAACTTATGATAATCTTACATCCAGTTAGATCATACAAAAAAAAGCTTAAAATAAAATTAATCAATATCTCAAAGCTGTTGGCTTCTTGCTAACTGTGCAGCACGGTTGAGCCCCTAACTGTTGCAGTTTCCAAAAATACAATTGATGTTTAAGTAGCAAAACAATAAATATTATTTCAAGCAATTATTTGATCTAGTTAGACAACTGTCTGACATAATTTTCTTATAATTATCTGCAAAGCCTGATAAACAAAAGGTGAAAGCAATAGCCACGATCATAACAAAGCATCTTGCATTAGAAATGGACAGCCAGAAGATACCTATCCAGACACTTACACTTAGCCGAAGAAATGGTTGACAATAAAGTCTCGGGCCTCGTTGCTCTCAGCACGGTTGGCTGCTACGGGCTCAACGGGAACCTCAGCGGGGATGGCGGCCACGGGTGTCCTGCAGGGGTACCTCTTGGCCAGGTTGTGGAGGGCACAGCACGCGACAATGATGTCGCAGCACCGTTCTGGAGCCATTCGGAGCTCAGCGTGAAGGCAATGGAACCTCCGCTTGAGTTGGCCGATTGTCCTGTACAGAGCGCATGGATCAAAACCACATGTTATTCCTTCCCAGAAACCCAATAGCAAAATCGGACAACAGCGTGGAACGCAAATACTCAAGAGGATGACACGCAACAAGGACAAATTTACAGCTGAATTCGAATCGCAAATTGGCTGCCGTGCCCGATATCACACCTCCTAATTTTTCCAGCCCAAGCTCCAGCCCATTGCTCCAGGATATCGAAAGCTGGGCATTATGCATACCATTTTATTTTCCTTCCGAATTATTTTTACACTGCGTTCACATCCGGGGTCACCTGAGGTTAGCCTGTGCAATGTATTTTATAGAAAGCAACAAGCAAAGTGCAGCTTTATTCAAGCGCTATCCTCAAAGGGTTTCGTGGATATGCTTCCAACCAAACACCTGCATATGCACAGGCCAATATGTTAGAATTTTTTGCTACCTGATTGCTGCCAACGCTGTAAGAATTAACTTGTAACCAAGCTTTATACTGCAACAAATACAGTACCATCAAAATTTCATTCTACATGTTACTTGTGAGACAGAGTGAAAAGAGAAAGAGAGCCAGACTCTTGTCTTGTTGAGCCTTTTCCCTTCCACTCTCCAGGAATAGATGTTCGTGGTAGCGCAACCCATCTACTTTTGTCATTGATCAATAAGAATCCGTCTTGTAAGTCTGGGAGATGTAAAACGTAAAGCACTTGATATAACGCCTTATCCAAGTACTCCTATACCCTTTGATTGTGCCGCTAGTGTTCCTATTAGTTAGTGGTCCACGCACCGCCATTTCTGACTCAAGTGGAAGCTCCTGGACGCATGCAGCCAAAGTTTTGGTAGAGGGTCTTATGGCGCTTTCACAACGGAATCCCAAGCAAGATTTGCCTGAACATTTGAGATTGCAGCGACTCATCATCAGTCGTGAATGACGTGTAAGATGGTGTCTAGAGACTATTTGTGGAAACTTGTTATTGCATGCTCAACTTCAACATTGTCCAAAATGATGCCTTGGCACTACTCTTAAATCCATCGATGAGAGCAGAATAGGTCATGCTAGGCATGTACTCTTGGCCAATCGGTCAAGACGGTCAGCAACACACAATTGTTTGCGACTTACACCGATGTGCCGCTATTTTTGGATCACACGCATCTTAGCACGCACGAGCTTAGCTGTACTTGTGCACTCAATATGAGTACATACATATCTAGCACGTTTAGTTAGTTTTCATTAAACAGCCCGAAACTGACATTTCAAAAAGTAGACATATGAAAGTGCCAAGGCACAGTGTTACTTCCACTGCTGTGTCTAGGAAAAAAATTCCATTGTCATTAATGCTTCTTTTTGTCCAATTAACAAAATATCAACTTCTGTCCGGGTCTTGCGTAGCACTGGCACCTGAGGTGAGTTTAGTGCTTTTCCCCATTATTGCCAGTCCTGGGGACCTAAGACATAACTGAGTTTCTGCATTTTCAGTCTCAAGCGATAAAACCCAATAAAGTGTGGTGAGGTAAGTTTCGAAAGTTTGATTTTAAACCTAAATGGTCAGTACTTTAGACCATTACAGGTGCATGTGACCGAGTAAACAGAGTATAGAAGCATGTGACCGAGTAGTCAACTATCTTATCTCCGTGCTTTCAAACTATTCTGTTGGAAGCACACTTTAGGAAGTATTTGGGTTTGTCATCGATGCAATTTGCGTTCCTTTGTCCATCAAGTTTGCTGTGGTCGTCTAGAGGGCGGATTTGGAGCGTTTTCATTGTTTGTCAAGCCATTTGGTCTTACTTTTGTTCTGGGAGGAATGGAATGTCATTCTGTTCCTATTGTAGGGAGCATAAGAAAAAAACCAAAGCTGTTTAAACAGCCTCTCTCAAGGTGCTATCTGGTTAGAGGAAAGCAGCTTTAATAGTCCTCCACATGTGAAGAACAAAGAAGCGTGCCAAGAATTACGTTTGCAAATTTTGCGATTAAGAATTTGTCGTCACAGCACATGTATAACCAAGGTTACGTTTGCCATGTCCGCAAGTGTTGCCGCTTGACGAATAACTCAGATATGAACCTAATCTACTGCATTCTCGACAAACCTGCTTGAAAAAAAACGTAACTGGTCAATAGATATCGACCGGAAAAAGGCAGTAAGCTTTCGACTAAAAATATTCATCGATAAAAACTGAAAATTTCATACTCACAATAACAACCGAAAAAAGTATGCCGATTCCAGAAAAATAAAAACTGAAACCGCAGAACCCTAGGCAGCTATTATAAGTTGTATTGATTCGTAATCTCAGGATACTACTTTCATCTTGCTTACATAAAACCACGGTACCTTATGCTTCGTTAGATTAATATAAAAATTTGTATGAATATTTTTATGCCATAAAGAATAGCAACAGACGTAAGGAGCATGCACGTGTTGCACATATTACGTCAAGACAGCTAGTCGTCTCGAAATGTCTTGCATGAATATCTCTGTGCCCTTCACAATATATGGCCTAGATTTACCGTTCAACAATGCTTCTTGTCGTCGTGTGTGCCGTATTGTATGCGACCTCGGCTGCTGATGACGGCGACAGGAATGGCGTCATCAGCCAAGGTTGACAGGAGTAGCCGCTGTCACCAAGCAGCAGGCCGTCGTACTCTCCACTGGCCAGCTTGACTGCCAAGGTGCTCTCCGTGAAGATCCGAGAGTCGCGGGTGCTTCCAGGCCACCTTGCAACCACGTTGCGAATCCGAGAAGAGGCGTCAACGACCACCTGTACGTTGATGGAATGGTATCCATGGCGGTTGACGTACGCCTCCTCGTGCACATGGGGTGCCTGGATCCGGACATGGGTACCGTCAACAGCACCCACGACCAAAGGAAAGCCGGCCATGTCGTAGAACTTGTGCTGCAAGGCTGCCCCCTCCGCAGCGTCAGGCCATCTGCGTCGTTGATCCCCTCAGCAATTAAACCACATATAGTAAACTTACAGCTACAATGCTTATGAATACCTTTTTAATGAGGAATGCTAAGGACTTTGGCCGTGCCCTTCAAGTTTGTGGTAGCAGTAAAGTGCCTCAGTAGCACCTGTTCAATAGTGAAGTTTGCATGTTTTCATAGGATCCCTTTTTATTTTTGTTCAGTTACCAAGACCTATAAAGTGACTGTGATTCGGTGCAAGTCCTTACCAAAAGTGCAAACGGGTCGCTTTCTGAGGTTTCTCAGAAAAATGGCGTGCCCGGGCCCTTTCCAATCGGGCAAGTAGGACGCTTACGGCCGTAATCATTTTTTTTCTATTGAAAAGGGGGGGGGGGGGGGAGGAGGGAGGGCTAGTTACTAGTAGGTAGAATATTACTGCCATAAAAAGGCAACCTACAAAACATCCCTATCACCAGCAATTCAGATATATTTTTAGTGTATTTACTTTACTTCAATACGGCTGGCAAACTACAATTAAAAGGAAAAAAAAAGGACCCTTACCGTATGAAGTCTTGTGCTCGACGAGCCAGCGCTACGGTGACTTGCCTCACAGCCCGTGAAGCACTTGACACATGCACGCGGATGTAGTCGCCTGCAGTGATCAGAAAGTTCCCAGTTGCGTAGAACTGCAAGGCGATGATCACTTGCTGCTCCGCAGAGAGGGCGCGGCTACGACGTGTACGGCGCTCCAAGTCCGGACGCAGTGTGTCGACGAGAAACATTATGCCTGCTCTTCCAAATCGGAACCGTTGCTGCAGCCCATCCTCGTCGAAATCCTCAAAGGGGTTCAGGCGGTCCCGCAGCACACGCTGTCGCCTCATCATTGCCGCTGCGTACTGCGCGTCCGTGCGGTCTCTTCTGTGTCGGCGATTCCTTGCGTTGGACATTCTGCCCGGTAGCAAAGTCGGAAATCGGTCCGCAAATCTTATCAGTCAGTCCGTGGCCGGTCGGAGGGTTTGTCGGTGGGTCGGTCGGTCGAAGGGCAGAATACAGACAGGAAAACTCAGATGATAACCGAAAACGAGAAACGCGCGTTGCGTGCAACGAGGCGAAACTGGTTGTATAAACAAACGCCGTGCACGCGACACGGCACACACGGCGTTGCCAGACTTGGAAGCGACGGTCGACGCACTTGCTTTTTGCAAAACACGACAACAGAAAACTGCAAAGCACTTTGACTAGGTGTCTTGTCTACGCTTCCACACTTCGAAAGAAAGAATTTCGATGCAAAAAAGAAACTATCCTTTTTCTTTTCAATTGAGCAAACGTTTCTTGCAAGTTACAACTAGATTTAGCCGAAAACGGTTCCCATAAAGCAAACGTTGTATCATAAAAAAATAACGATTTATTTTTTTCAGCACAAGGTGGCGCAGGCTCCAGCCCAATAATAAAGGACGGATTTGTTTTATGTCCAGCCATTAAAGTTTCGTAGTAGGTACAACGTAGGTACAACTAGGTACTTTCGGTACCTACTAGGGACTTTGGCCAACGCTAACCGCGGTTAGCTCTTCGAGCAAACGGGCCCAGGTGGCGGGTTTGAATCCCGTCTGAGGGGCCCTCAATGTGACAGAGGCATTTTGCAAAGAATTTATCGTGTAAACGACCGTTGGGCTTACGTAAACATATCCCCAGGTCGTCAAAATAAATCATCAGTACTTCGCTGAGGCGTGCCCGATGTCCTTCTTTGGTTTAGTACATTACACTCCCAAATTTAAGTTTTGACTGTATTACTTAGCTATGTGTCCTGTGGCCCAAATCAGAACATTAAGGCGCAGATTATTTAGTCTGTGATACAAAAGTGTCGCACAGATTATTTATAGTGTGTGACACAAAATAAATTTTTAAGTCATTGAAGCAAGCGCATTAGTTTAGCCATAATATTGAGATAAAAATCACAACAATACAGGTTTTTGCCGTTTTTTTCTTTTGTAAATGATTAATAAATACATATTTGTTCTTTGGATGTAGAAAGTAAAGTCGAGGTTTTTTTTATATTATCTCTGTTTATTTTTGCCATACGCGTGAATACCCAACTCATACCCACACACCGATGGGCAATAATATGTATTTACAGGAACATCATTCCGCTAATGTATGTTCAAACCTTCTAGCAGTCGAATTGTGTACCTCCCTTTAAGGAAAATTAATATTCGTCAAATTCATATGGATGGAATAGGATGGTACTTTAGTTACTTTTCATGTGACGTTATTTTAAGTTAAAAAAATAACACTGCACTTAAAAACCACGTGAAGAGGTTACCACCTGCCTCAGTAAATGCATAATTCACAAGGAAGTGAGTAACTCTTACTAGGATACGTGGCCTAAGCATAGCAAATGTGGTACGTGAAGCGGTGATATACCGGGTTGTGTCATATATTTGTTTTCAAGTTGCCAATTATAATATTACTCCTACACTTTTGTCATTATATTACTTTAGAGATGAAATGTTTCAAAACCGAATAAGAAGTAATGTGTGCGTACACATATAAAGAGGATACTGGACTTTTTCAAAGGCCCTCTTTCCGAATAGCACCGCTATTGCAAGCAGCACGCTATTATTAATGTGCTTTCGTTCCTTTCTAAATTTAGAATGTGCAATGCATTTTTAAATGCTTCAAAGGAGACGTTATGATAATTTCAGCCTATTAAATATCTTAGTTGTTCAAAAGTTTGAGTATATTTCGAATATTTAATGTGGAATTGAAAGGAACATTGACTGAATGCTTCCTTGTATAAAAGGTGCTTTATGTTTTGTTGGTACTTATTTATTATAAAAAGTCCGTAAAATTTACTTCAAGATGTTCAGTTGAATTGTACGCCAGGGCAGACGTATAAAGAGAGGTACAATCCTTGAGATAGGAGATATATTTAATGAAAGAAATATATTAATCTTATATTTAGTGAAAAGCACGTATGGTTTCAGTTAGAAACGTGTTGAGCGTCTTCGAAAACCACTAAATCAGAAAAGTTTAGAAATTTCCGAAGTGCGTGGAATGCGCGGGGTGCACCAAAGTGGCCACTCGTACATGAGGCGCAAAGGTAGTGGTGTAAAAACGCGAATAGCAATAAAATCATCCGCGTTTTCTCACCGCCTACTGCACGGGTGTTAACTTAGTGCGCACCCCTACGCTGCCCTCGTGTTTCAAGTCGTCAAAAATAAACTCATCTAGAGGCTTTCAATGATGCACAGTAAGTTTCTAATTGGAATTTAACGTTTATTTTTATATTTAATAAATTAATCAATAATATATTTTAGTTGGTTAACTGACTTATCGTTAAGATTAGCCAACTCCTGATATTAGGTCTTCCTGTGCAAATAACTCACCGGCATAAACAAAATTAATACGCGCTTCGTAAAAAAAATGAAAGCCGTTTATAATTCCTTGTAACACCGAATTAGAGCGCAGCTTTTGGGGGGAGGAGGGAAGGGTACTGAGGGGTTACCCCTCCTCTCTCCTCCTCGCCTCCTCATCTTGCCTTCTACTAATCCCTCCGAGCGGTGTCGCCGTCGCCGTCGGCGTAACCGTGAGGTCACGTGACCCTCGTGACGTCACGTGACCCTCGTGACGTTACCCGACCCTCGAGACGTCACGTGACCCTTGTGACCTCATGGGGGTCACGTGACGTATTGATCCACCACTAGTACAGTGTTGAAAACAATAACTTCACAAAATAAATTTGGCTTCTGGTTGTGCATATTTGCGTATTTCAGACTAGAGATGCAGACTTTTCTTGCTTTCTCCAGTCAAACAACCTTGATTCTTTAGGGGTATGATGGCTATGCAGTTAAAAATATCCTGAAAGTTCGACCTCTTGAAGGTGAGCAAAATGTTATAGAAGTACAGTGCTAATCAGACTTGTCTATAACGCGCGAGCGTGCGGCTTTCTCCGGGAAGCGCCAGACTGTTGGCATTCGCGGAAACTAAGCTAGTCACGTGGTGCAACATGAAACGGCCCGCTCGAGGGGTGTCCTGCCCACTCTATCAACTTGATAAGCGATAAAAGTGAAGTGCTCTATGATATATTTTTGTTTTTTGATGACGACATCGTTGATACGCCTTCATGCTTTAGTTTGTTTATTGTACGAGCTATAATGTTTGTGAAAAGCGTGCGAGCAGCCTTCCGCGTTCGCCGCCAGCTGATACACTCTAAGAAAAAAGGGAGCGCGACTTAGTCCCTCGGGGGACTAAATGCGCTGCCACCACCATTAGTCCCCTAGGGGAGCAACTGTAACGGGAGCAACTGTTGCGCCCCGTCAGTTAGTCCCTCGCACTAGCACCGTTGGGACTAACTGTTGCACCCTTTCAGTTACACCTCGAGGACCAACTGTTAGGCCCTTGCACTTGGTCCTTTGGGACCAACTGTTACACCGTTTCAATTGAACCTCGAAGACGAACTGTTAGACCCTTGCGCTTGGACCCCTGGGACTAACTGCTACACCGGTTCAAATGAACCCCGAGGACTAACTGTTAGGCCCTTGCACTTGGACCCCTGGGTATAAACGTTGCGCCCTTGGATTTAGGCTTCTGGGACTAAAGGTTTATTTTTTTCATTTGGTCCCGTGCCACAAATCTCCCGAAACGAATTTGTGGAGTTCAGGTTAAAAGTAGCTTTATTGCCTCGTAGATACACATCGCATTCAAGGATGACTGAAGTCAAAGTTCCAGGGCGGTAGAATCCACGATAAGGTCAGATTCCGAAGAGCGCACTTGCGTCGACGATGGCTTGGACACTGGGACGTCTGCCCAAGTCGGTCGTGGTCCCAGCACCGCTTATTGGGGCTCCGGCAGCTTCTTTCTTGTTTGCGAGGAATTTGGATTATTAGTAACAGGGCAGCATTAATACCGAATCGCTTGACAAATATATGAGATATAAGTTATAACACACGCATAATAAATTAACAAATAGGCTGCATAAGTGATACAATGGTTCACATCCAACACGCAGTCTGTTGACAGCAGACCAGCGCAATATTAGATTTTAGTAGACCGTTCGCTGCGAATTACAGACCCAGCGCGTTCGTGCTCAAACTATGCTTCAAAGTGACGGCATGATATCCCGCCATCAACGCGAAAGTCTAGTGTACAATCGAATAAATGTCTCCATTAATGCCGGTTCTCACACGCAGCGAAGCGCTGATGTAGCGCTGCTCACGTGTCATGAGCTACTTTTCGTCTGCCGTGAGCATGAGTTTTGTCGGTGCGATACAAAGCTTTTGACCGATCCCGTCAGCACGCGCTTAGCGCAAGGTCAGCGTTATGCCTGTAGCGCTCCGCTGCATGTGGACAGGCGTTTATGGTCAAGCGATCCTGCCAGGGTCTGCGAAACACACACACACACAAAAATAAGCCATCGGTAGAACTGGCGTTTCGCTCGATACGATAGAATATGAGGTCTCTGTGCCGCATAACAAAATCAGCAACCGGGGTGCCAAAAAGAATAGAGCATGGCGCGCGCTTTGCAAGCTAGAGAACGCGCTCAAAAGAAAACACTTTCTGAAGCCACAGTTAATAAATACACCATAAACAGAAGCACTTCGACATACCTTAATCGAGTTCCCTTGGCTTGCGACGTCAGAACAGATCAAGTGCAGTGCTTCAGTACCGCGAATCCAAACCCGATCCCGGCATGATCGGAGACGACACAAGGCGACCAGCCTCCGACGAAGGCTGTATTTCGACTTTCAACTTACTAAAAACAGGTTCTTTTCAAACAAAGACA